ATTTTAAAAAAAAATGATTAAGAACTTAATCCTAATAAGCTGTTATGCATTACTGACAACAGAGGAGAACAAAATGTTACATGAGAAAAATAATTGACCACAAAACAAATGAATTTTTTGGACTCAAATGAAATGCAACATTTGACATTTTTTAGTATTTTGATAAATAACCACACCCTGAAGAATTCTCAGGTCAAATAAGATAAGAACAATCCCATACAACCATACCATCACTTCAACCCATGAAGTAATGGGTTTGATACCAACCAACATGATTACCAGCTCCCAGTTAGCTTGTTAGCTCAGTTTGGAAGAGAAATAAAATAATATGCTAACTCTGTGGCACTAGGTGACAAAGACAAATTGTAAATTTTAAATCATGTGATGGAATACTTGGATTTCTTTTACCACAACTGGTTGTATGTGATTGTCACAAAATAAAAGGAGTTGTAATAAGTTTGATGCAAGCACAAAACAAAGTAAATACCGGGTAAAACTTTTTTTATTTATAATGAGATTCAAATATGTAAAATTTCCTAAGGCTTTCCTTTACAATTCTGTTTCTAAAGCAGAGAAAAATAGGCAAAGATTTTGTACATTTGAATAGTGAAATAGTGGAGAGAAGAATATTTGTCCTAACCCTTTGATTGCTTAGATTGACCAGAAACTAACTTCTCTTCACAATTTAACCCCTGAATTGCACATTAAGATCAGGAGAATAAAGGAAATGATCACTAACTAAAGAAGCTATTGATTGTTACACAAATTCTCCTTGTCAACACCTTAGAAAATGTATAGAGAACAGTATGGAGAATATGCATACTAATTTTAGGGTGTAATGAGAGAAATTGAAAATCTTAAATTCAAGGGCAAGGTAAGCTTTTAAACATTGACACAGTCTAACCAAAGTCATTCTGGTCTGAATTTTGTTTTTTCATTCTAATGATTTGTTCCTTGTTTTATTTAAGTAAAAAAAAGAGAGAGAGAATACAATAATTTTGGCATTTATTTAATTTCATCAAAATAAGATTTAATAACTGGCAATTTCAGTGACTTAATATTCTCATTCACAATTCTAATTTTAGAAAAAATATCCTTTAAAACAATGACTAATTATCAAAATAAGCATATTATTTCAGGCTTAAGTTACATATTATTAATTTTGTTTTTCCTTTTCCTATTGAAATACGGTCTCCGCATCTCATACATAAAATTTAAAAAATGGCTGTATAACCAAAATATTTAATTACAACCAAGCCTACAATTACCAAAAATTACTGCAGCAGTGCAATTTTTTGAAAATTCTAATTCTCTAAAAATTGTCCTAACTCCTCATGGAAATCAATGTAAAAACTACATTTTTTTCTGCATGAATCCTATCTATTCTTCTTGCAATAATCTATCAATTCCTGGCTATTTAAATTTTTGACTTTGTACAAGGATATTTAATATTTATCAGTGGCGGATCCAGGGGGAGGGTCCGGGGGTTACGGACCCCCCCCAACAGACCTGACGCTTACAACTTTGAAACTGAAATTCTTACATCGACAGGATCGTACATCACTTTTTAACAGGCTGATCTTTTTAATGAATTCAAGTAAACGGTACTGAAGTAGCCAAGGAATTATAATGTGCAACCGCGACTGGTAGGAGGGTGTGTGGGGGAGAAGTAATTTGCCTCAAAAGTCCAACAGTCCTTTCTGAACCAAAGTTCAAAAATTACTGCATCCACCCCTGTTTATTACATCTGTAATCCACGTCTTTCATTCACTACATTCATCTTTTTTCGTTCATTCATTCATTCATTCATTCATTCATTCATTCACTCATCCATTCAAAACATAACAAAATAATAACTACTTTTCCCCCAAAAAAGAACATTTATGGTACAGAAGGTAAGAAATATTTTCTAAATTATCCTAAATTAAATCCTAGAATTTCTTCTAAATTTACATCCAGAAAATATTACTTTTAGTTTGTGCCAAGGTTTTCCAAACAGTGCTCCATATATTCATGGGTTAGATCGTATCTTGTTATCATTCCCACAAACTGAAAAAAGAAAATATTAGGTAAAAATTTACTATTAATACACACAGACCCAAAATCTGTCATGAAGGTAGCTTAAGGACAATCCAGTTAGAGTCAATAGGTTTGCCACTATCAATGCTGCAATATTTTGTAGTTATTGAACACATAAATCAAGCATAACATGTTTCCTCTCATGAATACAATTCTAGTCTATACAGGGCACTCCACTGCATATTCAACCCATTCAAAGTGAAACTCACAAAACCATTTAAACAAAACACCTCAATATATTTTGGAAATGTTCTTCATGTTGAAACAACCTCCCATTGAAGATTGGAGAAATCAGGAAAATTGGAGAAACTTTTTTGTTTGCACATGAGCAAGCCAAAAAGTTATAACCTCTGTCAATAACAAACTAGTCTCTCTTCTCAGATTGGCTCCTTCTTGGTACGATAACATTCAGATATTCACTCTTGACCCTTCACCCCCAATATCTCACTGATAATTCTCCTTGTTGTCTGCCAAACAACTCTTCCATAATGTTACTATGGAGAATTTGGTATTGGATCAACTTATAATCCCCTGATGTATGACTTTCTTTATTCTCATCACTTCTCTGCTTTATATCATGTGGATGTGGAAAGGAGAAATTTTATCTTGGTCACTTATGAGAGCTTGAGTTAAGAGAGTTTTACAGTGGGCCTGTGCATCACAAGTAAATGAGCTCACACCCAAACTACAGTCCAGCATAGACACTAGCTACCAGCTGCCTTTAAACATGAGGTCTCGCCCAAACTGCAGTTTTATGCAAGCAGTGGGCCTTAGGTATTCACTATCTATAGAAGGGTTCATTAAATGAAATAAATGTCCTTCCACAGTTAGCTTTCAGCCCTTTAGACACTGTCAACATAAATAAATGTTCAGATGAAAGGTTTGGCCATATTGAGGATTATACTTTAGTATGTGGTTTTGTTAAACAACGGTTAAACTTTGTTTAAATAATCAGACCTACATGACTTTGTGCACAGTTTATCCCTGCACAAGACTTACCTGCCCTTTAGTGTTCACCACAATCAAATGCCGCAGCCCCATTGTCCTAAATAGATTGAAGACCAGTGGCACAGGGGTCCAAGGAAACACCATATATGGGCAAGGGTTCATGTAAGGGGTTACATCCTGAAAGAAACAAAATGGTGCCAAGAAAACAGGAATGATGTAACACTTATTAATTACCAATTTCATGCCAGCTTTTAACTATCAATTCTCTACAATTTTTCCATACATCACTTTGAGTTCTGAGACATTGGTGTTAAAGTAAACTATTTTCCATGGATGATGTTCTTCTTCCTTCTCATAACCTTTCAACTTCAAAATGTGTTGAAACAGTTCTGTAGTAATTATAGACATTTTGAAGATAAGCCTTTAAACACCATCCTCCTTCCCTATGAAAAAACAATGAAACGTCTGAAT